GCCAAGCCATCGCCTCCCTCGACGAGCAATGTTAGCGGATATAGGGTCAGGCTGGAAAAAAGCTAGCGGCGGTCAAACAAAAACTTGGCACCAGTCAATGAAATCCACAACAGTTGGTCTAAGCCATGTAGGAAGGTGTAGACTTCCAGGCTGGGGTCCTCGGGACGGTAAAAATCTATGGTTGGAAACAATTGGTGACATGGCTCAAAATCGTTCTCAGTGGCGCAGATGCATCCACTCCTGTGACTTATGATCTTCAATGAAACTGTTTTGTATTTCTTTATTACTCCTTTGTCTCACACCTCTGCTCACTGTTTCTATTATGCTTTTCTTGTACTTTCTTCTCTTGCTTCGCGTGCTACACGGAGTGTGGCGACTTGAACTTCCGCACATTTGTGCAAAGTTCTATGTCGAAAACAGACAGACAGACAGAAGTGCTGACTTGAATTTGCCGAAAAGAGACTTTTCGCTGAACTGTTTATTTTTATATTCATGTCCGGATAGGTATTTTTCATGAATTAAAAGTTAGCAAGGATCGTTGGACAGTGAAGGAACTCAATGTGTATCTAAGCTTTTCTATCAAGCCTGCTGGAGTGAATGAGAGATCGATTTTCTCAGAAACTGTATAAATAACCATAGATATCGGAAGTGGTGTTTGGAAAGCTTTTCGTCGTAATCTTATTTATCCTAACTCTAAATCTCTTAAACGTCACATTTTGAACCACATGGAATCCATTCTTTCACGTACCCCAGATATGGAGTGAAATATAGCATAACAGTTCTCTGAGTTATATGAGTAGTCATTTGACGAAAGCCAGGCTTTCACCGACCATATAGGTTCGGTTAGGAAGAAACGCACAAACGCCATCCACTCATACCCATTAACAAGTCCAAAAGCCATTAAAAACGACGCAAACTTCCAGAAGCTCCTGATAGATTTGTGTTCAGCCATACTTCAACAACTGTATCTCCAATACAATTGGAGGCCTTGTCTGTAGGGCTGAAATGCTCAGACATGAACCAAAACATAGGCAAGCTCCATACATATGTTGAGTGAGAATTTTTAATCAATCAGACTAGTCATCTTTTTCCAATCCAGACGTTTTAGGTCAACAATTCTAAACTCATGCTATCAGCGCTTCAATGCAAAGTCTAAGTGCAATAACTTTTTGATCAAAAAACACAGGATAACTCAACTAACTGAGACGTAACAAGTAACTGTTGATCATACGCCCTGACAAAAGTATTGGCATAGTCCTGATAAACAGAAAAGATTGTATTGATAATATGTTGACAACTATATCACACAACAAGTTCGTTGCCTCTGATAAAGGAAAAGTTAAAACAGAAACAACTGCAATGCAACTGCCTGTGATACTGAGTAAGCTAAATAGTGATCAATTTATCTCCGAAAATGTCCACGACAGTATTCAGCCAAACGTCCAGTAATACCCTGACTATAGGGATCACCGAAATCTCACAAACACGGACTTTCGTTGCGCACTTCTTTTGATATGTCTGGATATCCATAACATCTAACTGTGAAATGGATGGCAGAATTCCTACAGCCTGTTAGAGAAAAAATTTCACAATACTCTCTTGGAGACACGTTTGAGTTGGTTGACCGTATCGATGTCGAGTCTCTCTTTATAAGTACCCCGATTACGGAAAATATTTGTTTCTTATGCAAGTACTTGGAAAACGATGACTTAAATATTGGAAAACCGACAGCCAAGTTAAGAGAACTTCTACTTAGATGCACTTTAAACGTCCAATTCACATTGAATGGTATTATCTAAAGACAGAAAGATGGTACGGCTATGTCCTTCATGTTTTTATTAGCTGCCTTTCCAGTCATCAAATTTACAATCGAAGTAGAAACTGGATAGACAATCTCCTTTCTAGGCGTTCAACTAACAAAGAAGGTTGATAGGACTTTGAGCAGATCAGTATATAGAAAGCCTACATGGGACAGCTAGCTGACAAACCTTTACCCATCAGTCGCAAGCGGAGCCTGATGACATCTCTGGCGACTAGAATCTGAAGAATCTACAGCCCCGAATCAGTAGAACAAGAGATCACTCTTTTCAGGAAGACACTACTTGAGAATGTCTATTCCTCACGTTTTGTAGATAAACACATAAAGCCCAAAACCAATAACGAACACTCCATCTCTGTACCGAAGAAGATGCTTTACATGAATATGTTGTTCAGTGGTGACGTTCTGGTTGAAATCCTAAAGAAGAAAATAGCTAAAGACTAGCAAAAACATTCCATGCTGCTACATTACAGCTGATATTCTCATGCCGCCCATTGTTCTTAAGTAACTCCAAAGGTAAACTATCGCATTTGGCCACTCCTATGTGTATATACGAAATTACTTGCTCATGTGGAGATGGATACATAGATCATTCTATGCATGTTTTATCTGAAAGAGTTAAAGAGTATTATCCCGCTTGATTACGAAAAGGTAACAGTGGAACAATAAAGAGTGCCACAATTTAACATACATTCAACACTGGTAACTAAATATGTAGGAAGACTTCATATAAAGTCATCTTCAAAGTCAAAAGAAGCCTCCTGAAAACGGTAAGTTTCCACATACTTTGCATTACTGAGACCTTAGCTATTTGAATGCAAAATGCTGATTTATATACACAGAAGAAACTTCTCCATCCCTTCCTCCTACCGTGAGTATAATTCCAGGCTCAACTATTTTATTGTTAATTCTGTTTTGTTTATTTTTGTATGACATTTTAGTAACATGTTTTTCTTAACTAATCCTTTACCTACTCTTTATATAAGTATAAAACTTGGGCACTGCGGTGGAGTATAAATTATACCTTTACCTACTCATTTTACCTACTAGACTTGTCTCCATGCTATTTCATTTACAACCAAATTTTCCAGTCGTCTTCCGTATTACGTAACCTTGGTCAAGACTTACTAATCTTTATCCCCACGCCCTATTTACAATTTGATTATTCATCACATTTTCTGAAATATTTTGATGACGTAAACAATAGTCCTTGGGTGACATCGTGCGTCAGGCCATTGCTCGAGTGTAACCCAAAAGAGAAGTGGCGAGTGGGACGTCTAAGGGTGACATGGAGGAGATCGTGTGAAGAGGAGTTGAAACACTATGGACTAAGATGGATGCAGGTGAAAAGTACAGCAGAAGACAGAAGCAAGTGGAGACGTGCAGTTGAAGCCCTATGTTCCACTAGGAACCCAAGGGAATAATAATAATAAACAATAGTACTAACCATTTTCTTATTCTTGTCTGACAAAACTAATGTACACTGACGTACGGGAATTAATTATACATAAATGCGATTCTACAGTTGAGTGAATAAATTAGTTGAAAACAGACTCTTCGATGGACTGTTTTTTCTTGTATTCTTATAGAAAGTACTGAAAACACATGAACATGATCTTACGATTATTTAGATATGATGATAATCAAGCTCCAAGTCATTTCAAATCATCTGAGTTAACTGTAGTATCAATAATATTTCAGTATTTCAACGAATTCTTTGTGGACTTAGGTATCAACAGTTTTGCTTTAAAAAAATTCATGTTGTAATGTTGAAATTCCGTTGTCCCTTGAATACATGTCCTAGCGTCAACAAAACCTAAGAAGTTTTAATTATTCAAATGGCTTTCACAGAATCTCGCTGGTAATTAAAAAAAAAACGTATATCCTGTCTCCATTAAATATTTTTTAGTGGTATCCATCAGTAGAGGATTATCTGGAAGCTGACTTCTCTTTAGATGAATTTCATGTCATAAATAATGCACCTTAATAGTTTCACCCACTAGAAACCATCATCGCTAGACTGCTTAAAGCAAGTGAAGGTAACCAGCAATGATTATCATCAGGTTTCACTGGGTTTTTTATTTATAAAAGTTAGTCTATTTAAATCATAGGTGACGAAGAGTCAGAAACACTTTGTATTGAAACTCCAGTGCAGACATATCGATGGTCTACGAAAATATCTTGATAAAATAGTCCATGATGCTCCATTCAAATCAGGCATAAAAGGTTGGATGAACTGAACTGAATTATCAGTGTAGAAGTCAGCACAGAAGTGCAGCCTCTCATTTCAGCCACATTTTATAAAAGTAGACACAAAGGTAAAGAAAAAGTGCAGAGAAAGTGTAACTAACGGTAATGTTGAGGAGAAACAATAATTACAAAGAGAACGTGAGAACTCAATTAATCTATGAGTTCATAAAGAGTGAATACATCTGCGACGCTGTGTAAGATTTCGGGTCATTTTTTGTGGCAATTAGCAGCAGAATCCGCGATGCGCACTTCATCCCTTCTGGGACTCGACATCATCTGAATGCACCTACATTCCAGTGAGTGACGATATTCCCACTGAGACTTAAACCATGCACCCATCTGTTGAGGTACATCCGGCTGACATCACGGATTCCACTGCTAGTTACTAAGAAAAAAACTTCACGGTCATCCTTTGACGTCATGGAAACCTCCGTACTAGGAGCGAGCATGTCAACGGACACTGAGTATTTCGGTTCAACAGTTTCGAGCCATTGGTTCTCAGCATCGTGACGACCCCAGCCAAGCAGGCTGTACTATCCGATGTGACTCAAACCAACAGTCAAAGATCTTATAGAGTGTAGCCGTTTTTCGTTAAGATCATCTTCAACTATTATTTTATAGAAATTAAAATAACCTTCGTTTCCAAGACTATAGGTTTTGAACTAAAGTTTCACTGAACCACACTAAATTTAAAAACTAAATTTATTATTTGAAATAGTCGGGAATTATGTAATGAATGTTTTTGTTACAATATTCTACTCATTTTTTCAAAAGACCTTTAAAGCAAGATGCAACTACTAAGAAAGTAACACATGGATTCTAATCGTATTCAATGCCAGCAAATGTAAAAAACAAAAATGAATTAGCTCTTTATAGAGAAACACTGTTACACAAATTTACAGCTTTTTCATAAAAATACCAATTGAATTACCTTTTCTATAGCAGCTACAAAACCGGGATGATCAGAGAAAAATGGCAATTGATGAACAATAGCAACTGATGGATCACTAGCCTTGTCAACAAAATCCCAGATAACTTCTGTGGAGGCTGGCAATATTTTAAATGTAAAATTTAACAGATTATAAATTAAATCCATAGAAATGGTTATTATCGTTATAAATGTAAAATATATACTCAAAAGTGATTTTCACATATGCAAATGGATATTAGTAGCAAAATTATATGGTTTGATTTCAGTATTAAAAGGAAAAATCTGTTTCAACTGTACAATGATCAACCTGTGGCAGTAGATTTCGATCCCGAACAAAACTTATGTATGAATTTATACATACAAAAATACTGAACAATGAGTCGGTGACACAGCGATAGGATGCTCACCGACCACGCATGTGGCTTAGGGTTTGATCCCCGACTGACGCACTCCTTTACCTCTCTAAGCCAGCAGCATGATGTTTCTTGGGTTACACAGTGTAATCAAGATGTTTGCATTACCCACGAAATGTCTCCAGTGAAAATTGTATCACAAAAGCTTTCTGGATAGACTACATAAAATAAACATAAAAATGCCCAGTTTATTAAACTTGGCTACACATGCGATGGAAAGTGTCGTGATACAAAAATCTGATGGGAGGGATTCCTGGTTCCATTTTTATTCACCGTTCATCATATCGCAATAAATAATGATGAAAATGTCGTTACAGGATTTTATCATGAGCTGACATTGGTTAGAGAACCATTGGAAAACCTGGGAGTACTTGACAGCTGTTTCGTCCTAGTTTGGGACTCTTCAGCAGTACGTAACCACCGGGGCTCGAACCCCTGTCCAGTACACCCAGGTTTTACATTGGTTCTCTAACCAATTTCAGCTCATGATGAAATCCTGTAACCAATCACATCCTACAAACCAACACTTGAAAATGTCGTTATTTGGATAATCAGTTACTTTTCTTAGTCATACACTTCGAATTTTAGATATTTTAAGGATGATTCTCAGGAAATCGTAAAATTGGTTGACGTTTTAGGTTTTAGTGCTTATACGTACATAACGGCTGAACCTTTTGTAAGTTAACAGGTTACATCTAAGTGGATTCGCTGAGCATCAACGTCGTAACTTTAAACTTCATAATTTCAATGTATTTCTAAGTGCAAATAAGAATTTCTTAACGGTCACTGGTTGTTTAAAAATTCACTTTCTCCTGCGTACGAAACGCGCACTTCCCAAGTGGATCTCAGTAAATCAACCCACATAGCTCGATTCTTTAACATCTGGCGAATTAGGACCACTCAACTCCGCCACAACCGTTCATCGGAATTAGTCACAAAGTAGGACTGAATAGGACAAGTGGCATTAGACTTCAATACATGCCCACGGTGAAGGTACTAGCAATTCATCAATTCAAGCACTGTGAATGCATGGCATATTTCGTCCGTTATCTCATTTCACCTTGATTTCGAACTCTTTCTTACTATTTCGATTGTATTTTTAGTGAATAATCAACATGCAAAACATTTCTTCAGTGCATTTTTACTTTCTTTACAATTGTCAAGCAGACGCTCAATCAGCTAGCTTTTCATATAATAGTGCTTTCATTTCATGAGTTTTTAAACCCTTGCTTTTATTGTCCTGTTCATTATTATGTAGTTTTATTTTCCGTATCCCTAGAAGCTAATTCTGGGTAGCTCTATAAAGGACAAGACTCCTCGCTATTATGTTTCAGTAAATATGAAAACAACTTAACAACCTCCCAAGACTACTCCGCTATCAAATTGTTCCTTCTTTTCTTTATCCATCAAAGATTATTTTTGATCTTTTTAAAGATTATTTTTCGACATCTGACAGTAAAGTATTTCTACGAATTGATGACAAGGCTAGTTGATTTTCAACTAGTGAACGCTAGTTTAAGTTCGCCTTTAAGTAGTTAGGTTTAGACAACCAAGTAACATAACCACCCTACATATAATAGTTACAACTCTCAAGTGGAACCCGAACGGGAAGCGGCGAGTTGGTCGTCAGTGCGAGGGTGACATGGAGGATGTCATATGAAGAGGAGATAAAAGCATGTGGGCAAACCTAGAGCCAGGTGACAAAGTTGGTGAAGAACCGAACGCAATGGAGACGTGCACACATACAGCCCTGCTAGGGATCTTAAGGTTATGAGGAAAAGCTTGTTAGTGATTAAGTCATGTGGGCCGGAGTTCAATAACCTACGAATTCCAAATCTGTCAACTCCTGATAAAACGCTACTCCAGCCAATGTCTTGGATAAGCATCCGCTTTACCTAGACATGGTAGACCTTACTGGTCACTTCTCATTACAGCTGCATCATATTCATCCAATAACTAACAATGGGCTGGAGACTGATGGGGTCTGATGTTTTTGTGACTGAATTCCCGCCCCAGTGACTGAGTGGTACAACAGCTTGATCTTGTAACCTGGAGGCTCAGCGTTCGATCCCTGGAGGAGTCATAAGTGTGCACTGAAAAATGTCTAAGACTAGGAGAAAACAGCAGTCCAGTGCCCCCTTGGTTTTCAATTACCTCTTAACTGGTATTGGTTTGTGGCGAAATCTAATGAATGAAGTGAAACTAATTTAAAACTCCATCGTATACAGTGAATAATCTTTAAATATGTAAAACGAAACAGCTATAAAAGTTCAAGTTTATATTATCATAGGTACAAAACAAATAGAAATAAAACTTGTGCATATGATGAATAAGCTTTTTAAAGAAGTATTTACTAGTTTATTGATTTACAATACGACCAACTTATGCTAACTTTTGGATAGATACATCTTAAAGTAACTGAATAAATTAGCAATATACATTTTATTTTGATCTTATGTGATCAACTGAGTAACTTAGAGTTATTTACACATACCAATAGATGTACATTTTAGCATCAATTGGCCTTAATACTTAAAAAAGGAAGGTATTTTTTTTCGTTTTGACTTTAAAACATTGTTTCATTTCATTCAAACCAGTTAAATAAGTTATCTTGGATAATACGATTCATAAAGATGGTATGCTCTCCGGCAGAATGGTGGTAGCATTTCAGAAGAAGTCAAAAACGATTCTTGAATCTAACACTAAGGATTCATGAATTCAAGTACCACTGTAACGGAAGATGACAAAAGACTTGGTGACGGACTTTTTTATTCAGGAAAAATACACCATATTTGTACCGTTTTAGGTGGACAATAATCTGTTCTGATTGGATGTCGATTTCTCGAGGGTTAAACCTTGAGACGAAAAGTTGTCCAATGAGATTATTGCTTGGTCACGATGATGATAACTAAATCCAGATTTGAGGGATAAACACTTCTACTTCTGCAGCCATTGACTTAAAATTTTTTTTAATTTTGCCTGCTTTCTGTCAATCTGCGCCCAAAAACTATTGATAAATCTTGTCAGTAAAACACGTCACACCAGTTGATTCCTATTAGTATACAATATTTGCCGTTAAATTTGATAACCGATGAGTTTCACAAAAACTTCCGAGCCACAGTCTGATGACTAAGGTTTCCATGTTTAGCTAGCCTATAAAGTGAAGTAGTTATTTTCCTAGTCTTGAAATTTCACGGACTGCAGTAATTATTTCAAAGATTTCACATCACAAACCTATGTCAGTAAAAAAATCCTTTGACGACCACAGAGCATTAAACATCTCTTTGGTCTTGGTTTGAGTCTCTCTGTTACGGCACATCCTTATAATTCTTATAGCCAAATAGTCAGGTTTTAATACTGTCATGTAATGTAAATTTCCGCCTTATTTTCTGTCATTCCTTTGTGTTTGTAATGCCGTATAGGGTTTCAAGCTCTTAAAGGTTCAGTAGAGGTGATGCACTATCAAAGAAATAAGGTTACGTAAAGTTTATGATATCGCTATTATGGTTACTGTAAATAATACTGGTCATTATAAGCTAATATTAAACAATACAATTCCTCCACCATAAATCAGTTATCCAGTAAACTAAATGAAACAGTATCATCTGAATCCAAAATTAAAACATGCACCAGGACAACATGATCGTCAGTTTTGATTTTGTGAACACAAACAGTTTGACTGAAACTTAACCTTTCATACTGAATGATGTAACGAACAACACAGAATTACAAATTATTATATAAGAGAGCTAAAAAATAGTGCTTCCGTTCAATCGTTACGGGGGTGGTGTTTGAGTCTGTGGATGTAGACGAATGAAACTTCAGTCCTCCCTAAATCGTAGTCAGTGTATTTAAGTGAAAAACATACAACATTCGCTCTGGACTGCAAGTGAAACTAATGTATATAACGAGTTCCGCAGAAACCAATCTGTGTTTAAAATTAAGGATTCGTTAAAATGAACAGAATTTCTGTCAATCAAGACCAGATATAATTGAATTTTTCTCATTAGTGATGAGAAGAATCTCATGGTTTGAACACCACACAAATCTCAAAAGTGATACAGATTTACTTTTGCAAATTTGAGAGTACTGAGGACCCATGGGATAGTAGTTCTTAAGACTTAAGAAGTTAACAAACTCATCATTTTGTTGTGTGTGGTCATGACTCTATCATCCTCAGAATATTTGATGCTCAGAACTTCACCTTGATCATCTATGCGGAAATTTAGTTTTATGTCATCCACAACAGATTAGACAATCACACTCACAGTACCACGCAACCTGAGTGTGAAAATGTCTGTCAGCATCATCAGGAAACACACTGTTTAGCGGACCTGAAAGCACAAAAATAGTTCCTTTCGTTGAAAGACATAAAAAAGGACTTTATTGTGTGATATCATGAACCTATATACGTTGTGTTTTAGTTACTGACACGTGAAATGCTTCCGACTACCTTGGTTTATGATCACTCAAAACAAGTCGAGGATTTCTCGGTAATCAGTGCAGTTATGCAATAAATCACAAGTGTAAAACCATGATGCATTTTGCGTCTAAGGGGTGAAATTGCTAACATATCCCTTTTGATGGCTTTCTACCAACTAAAGAAGTTTTAGGAGTGAGTCAAAGAGAAATCGAAACCGGGCTTCCCTCAAAGTTGGAGAACATTCTATCACTGAACCACCGACGCACTATAAATTAGTGCACTGAACTTCAAAGTGCGGAAATTATTTGCGATATTCGAATTAACGAAATAAATCATTATTTTATTTAACAGTTAGTATTTGATATCGAAATTTTTCGTTTATTGTCACTGGAATTGCACTGTTCAATATATATAACAGTAGAGTAAAATTAAGTGAACTTATGTAACCTTTAACGAGATTTTACTTCAATAATTCAGTACTTCTATGAGATAGTCAATTTTTTGTACTAACTTTTGTGAATAAATATGATAAAAACCCTAGGTCTTACTTAGGACCCAAAAGGGGACCCAGTATCATATATATAAATACTGTATGATAGTTTTATCATGTCACCTAGTTGTCACTGCTAAATATATGACGTCAACAGTTTTTAAGATAAACATTGCAACACCTCAAATATCAAACATTTAGAAACAAGTGAAGGATAAGGGCGAATGCAGGTGCGCCACTGAATGGTTTAGCCGGGAAGCATGCTTGAAAGCTTGGGAAATGTCATGCGCCTTAAGAATATCAAGACTTTAAACAGGCAGTTTTAAGACTGAAATAACCCCTATTGAGATAAAAAAAAATTTCTTTCAATGCACAGAATTGTGCAGAATTTGTCGATTACTATATTCACTAATGGGCGTACAGTTTATTTTGTTATAGTTGTATATTAATTTTAACCATTCAATGGCAAAGTTATTCAAATTATTCATAGAATTTTATGATCGTAAATGATGCATAATAAAGTTTATGAAATAAGTGCTTAAAATAACAATAACAAACCAACTTATATCAACACTTTAAATACACAGAAGAATAAATATATATGCATACATGTATTGGAAATTCACCTTTTACACGACTTGTACTGACCCAAACAAGATCATGGTTTGCAGATTCATACGCCGGAGCCATATTATGGACCATAGGATTGACAACGCCATCTTTCCCTCCTGTATATATATAAACAAAAAGATGAGCGCAACATATTAGTAAAACGATGAATTCTTTTTGTGTATAAATAATGTACAAATCGTCGGTTATATGAGAAGTATGTTAATTAAAAGTAAAACAGGTATAATCATTATAACTTTTTTAACTAAGAAAAGAGATGGATGCACACAATCTATAGAAGTTCACTAATAATATCATGTAATAAATTTTATTGACTGAGTAATACAAATTCTTACAACATAAAAATAGTGAAAATGTTTATCTCTTTTATTATTCTTTTACAATCCCAGTGGATCATAATGCTTCAAGCTACAGGCCTGAAGTTCCGGTAGCATTGGTGCTTATTTTTACGGGGTGGCATTTTTTTTTTATTACAGCTTGATTCCACACTGTATTTTTGGTACAAGTATGGAATTTTCAGCGTGGATATCGGTAGCCCGAATTTCGCAGGCCGACCATAGATATCAGGTGTGCGTCGGCGAGGGCTCGAACCCCGGACCATGTGCATGGTCGGCGAGAGTCCTAACCACTGTGCCACCGACGCACTGAGGCATTGCTAGCCTCATGCCCAACCTTCCGTCTTTAGCAGCCTTCTTGTAACAACAATAATACTATTCAAAAACATATCATGGAAACCAGGCGTACAGTAACATATACTGAGTAATAGGCGAAATTTGACTGGTTTTGTCACCGGCTTAGAGAGGTAAGGGAGTAAGTCGGCTGGGGATAGAATCCCGGACCACGAGCGTGGTTGGTAAGCATTCTACCTCTAAATCACTAACGCCTAATGAAACAGTAACTGCCTTAGATTCATGATGTTATAGTTTTCTTGACATTGAATTCATCATTGGTTTGAAAGATTTTTGTGAGTGAAATAGTAAAACACGTATATTGGTCAATTTATAGTCTTCTTTATTCATATCTTACTCACCTTGAAGCATGATATTTCGTTTATAAAAACAAAATTTATCAGTTTTATTATGATAACGGCTCCCATCACGTGATTTAGCCTTAGTCATGATATAGAAACAATTTCAAGAGTATATGGGTCACTAAAGTCTAGAATAACTGGAATAAAAAGCGCACGTTAGTGCTCGATAACTACTCTGGAGGTTCTAGTTAGACTGTCAGCGGATGCATTCCTACACCTCTCCCAATTTAGCAGCTGGTAGCTAGTAAGCCCAGATAAAATGATAAATTCAGAGTGACATTTACAACCCAACCCTATGAAATTAAATACTACCGCTTCTGAAGCTTCAAATATCAAAGCTCGAGTCCGTATGTTCGAAATGGAACACAATGTGACTTGTGAAAAGCTTAACAGATGTGATCATAATTTCACATGACTTAGAGTTAACACTACTGAAGATGATAGGGATATTCTGTACTTCATATTTCTGAATGTTGCCATAGTTCATCCAATATTTTTATCTTGTCAATACTTACGATTTGGCTATCAAACTATACAACTTGGGAGACAATTTCAATAACTTATACATGATTAAGATATTAAGCAAATGTAACTTATGACCTGTAGCTCTAAGGACAATCACACAAACTAACTAAAACATCTGGCATCATATTTTTCTGTGATATACGTATACGGAAATTTACCGACAAATACGGTCTAAAAGTGAAATTCAAAGTGAACTGGATCAATATTTCAAAAAGAGTTCCGTGTTATTTTGGAATTCAGTAACTCTGCTAAACATTCTGAATTAACTACAAAACGTCTTCACAACGAATATTTACTGTGCTTTAGTAGATTTAAGACTTCGAACAACTGAACAGGGGATTAGTACATAGGTTGATTTGAAATTAAAGTTTTCCTATGAAAAACAGTATAAAAATGTAGTAAGGTAATCCGCAGCTTCTGTGAACATCTAACAGTCTTCTAATATTCTCAAAGTATTTAGCATATGAAAATATTCTAGATTTGTCGTTCTCTTCAGCAGTAAACAATTATTTTCAAACTTCAACAATCAGAACATCACGAATGAACCTCAGCATTTTGTTTCAAGTGTTTTATGAGAAGTCACAGAGGAATTTTCAAAAAACGGCTGAAGTTTGGATGTTCACGCTAATGCGTTAAGATACAAAAAGGAACTTATAAAAACTTGATGGGTGCTGATGCGTCTAACTTTTTTTATATTTATGAAACAAAGCCAACTGTTCCCCATCATCGGTATTTTATAACTGCATATCAAGTTCATTTTAGGCTAGATATATTCTGAATATTTATAGAAGTCAGCTTAAAATAGTAATCATATTATGACTCAATGTGATTCATCGTGTGATCAGATGACCGTAAAATTTCATCTTTTTCTCACATCGATCTTGGTCATATCATCAACCAATCAGAATATTTATTTTCCGCCTACTTTGGCCTAATCGCCTACCAATCAGAACAATCTATTTTCACTGCCTTGGGCTTATTTTTAATGTTCTATAGTTTGGTTTGTAAGAATTGTTATGTTTTTACGAGTTGATCATGGATTGATATCAGTTAAAGAACCATTGAAAATCAGCACTGGAGTACTGGACAGCTGTTTCATCCTAGTTTGGGAATCATCAGAAGTACGCACCCACCGCACGACGTTCGAACCCACGACCTTCCGGTTACAAGGCAAGCTCGCTATTGACTTGCTACAGGATGGAGTTTCATGGAGTCCTAGTGAAAAGTCGTCGTGACCAGTGAGGTCCAATTAGATGTCACGTGTGTGGATGGATGTCCCACCAACAACAATGGTTGAGGTCGCGCTAAAACACAAATTGGTAGAAGTTATAATTCATGAGCCATTGAATCAGGTCCCAGTAGCTGAATGGTATGTTTAATGTGGTAAAAAATTATATAAATATGACACGTTTTTCCTAATAAAATTGTATTCTAACAGTCACTAGCCAGTCTTTATCCTCTGATATTTACATGACTCAGTGAAGCAGAAGATACTGCGGGCGAATAGAAGTATTTAGCGTATCCGTTGAGCTTTTCGTTGCATCAGTATTACAATACCCAGCCATAAGTTCACCTGGTCATATCGACTGTCGAAGAGATCATACTCAATTGACGACTGGTCCATAACAAATATGTAGTACAATGTCTGTCTATTTCTCTACACCATCCATCAACCTACACTTTAAGTAAATTTTTCTTCACCATACTGATGATTTTTATCTCCTACCTTGTCGAAACTGGCTTAACAACTTATCATATGCAATTAAGGGCATATGGTACACGAGAATCCCAAACCACTGAATTATAAACAAAGAATATATACTAAAGGTTAGAGATCACATTTAAAAGTCAAATAGCGCGCAAAATCTCAAAAGTATCTTTGTCGAGAAAAGTGAGTAAGAAAACAAAAATGAAGGAAAACATCTTATAGGGGAGAATAACATAGAAATATCTAGTATAAATTTAAATTAAAGACTAGGAGACAGAACATCTCAACTAGTATGACGTAATACTAGGTCAGACCACCATTAGCCTTCAGTAGGTTCGTAATGAAATCCACAGTGGAATTATGACACCTAAACTAACCCGACTTCTAAGTATTCAATAATTATCATGGAAAATAAACTAGTCCTAGCCGTTTGGCTGCAATAAAGGTGTTTAAAAGCAATTCAATAATCTTCAGTGTTCGATAACTCAGTAAATAGCATCATTTAAAGATATCTCAGATATGAGACAGGGTTATACATCTTAAGTGCAGAACTACAGAACTACGCTTACTTATACTTTAAGAAAGTATCCCTCATTGGTTCTGTTACCAAACGAATCAGATCACTTTGTTTTTCGCTTAGTTTCCGAGTTTACATAGATACGAACATAGATTTTCTGAAGTTTGTTTGTAAGGATTATATCTGTTTTAACGAGTTGATCACGGATTGATATCAGTTAAAGTACCATTGATAGAACGATAAAAAATTAATCTGATGCTCGCTAGTGACTTGCTACACGACGGATATTCCTGGAGTTCTAGTGAGAAGTCGTGACCAGTGAGGTCCATCCAGTCAAGTGTGAGGATGGATTTCCTACCAATGACATTGATTGATGGTTACGCTAAATTACGAATCGGTAGATGTTAGAATTTATGGGCTGGTCATTGGATCGAGTCCCAGTGTCTGAGTGGTATAATAGCTTGCCGTGTAGCCGGAAGGTTCTGGGTTCAAAACCCAGTAATTGACACTGCCAATGATTTCCAAACTAGGATGAAACAGCTGTACAGTACTCCCTGGTTCTCAATGGTTCTCTCTAACAATCCATGATCAAATCGTAAAAACGTACATAAATGCTAGAGAACAATTTTGGGCTGTACAATTATAAAAAAAAATTTAACACAAATGATAAACACAAACAAATGTATCTAAATTTAACAATATTTCATTGATAATGTTTTACCTTCGTAATTTTCAGTTACACCTGTTCAGAAATGTGAGTAAAATTTTTAATTCAATCAAACATTCTAACACATTTTAATTTCGCTTTTTTACTCCTACACAGCTATGCATGTACACAAACAACTTGAGTTGGTGGACAATGCTCAAAATTCATTTGCTGTATGTTTTCCTCATTTATACTCACAAAAAAACTGAAGTGATAATATAACTGGAAAGGAAACACACTTTGAAGCAAAAGACACTGACCATTTCAGAATTGAAAACACTTCACGTCTGATATGAATTTCAAATAATCCGTTGGAATAAAGGAATTTTATTTATTTTGATTACAGCTTGATACCACACCGTATTTTCAGTACAAATATGGAATTTTTAGCATGTGATATCGGTAGCCCAAATTTTGCAGGCCAACCATAGATATCGGGTGTGCGTCGGCAGAGGATCGAACCTCGGACTATGTGCATGGTCGGCGAGAGTCCTAACCACTGTGCCACCGACGCACGATTTAAGAAAATAAATACATTTGAACAAAATATCATAGCTGCAAGACGTTTTTTTCATCTCTTCACACCACGAGTGGGAAATAAAACACTTCATT